CAGAGTGTTGAAGAAACGCAACTTTTTCACGATTTTTTAAATATATCTCAAACATTGTCCATAGCAGGTATTCCAAATTTTGTTCGTTACCTGTTCTTCTATTCAAGGAATAAGCTGACTGAAAAATTTACAATAAGAAAAAACGTGTAATTTGTTCAGTTCCGTTAATTAACCAGCATCTGCCTTGAACTTCCCTCAACTTTTTAAAGTTAACGCAAGCTAATTAATGTCCCGTTACCTTGACGTCTGATTAATCGTTTAATTTTAGTATTTCACGCTAATTTTACGAAAGGGATAATATGAAATTTATAAATGAAACATTGGAAAGTATTACTTTTCCATTCGTTGGGAGAAGGTTGCCGTGATATCCGATAAATCAAACAGAAAGTGAACACATATAGAACGTTACAAAAAGTAGAGAGAATAGCTGCATTATTATACGAGCAATTCCCCGGAGAAATCTAATCTCCACGCTTATGATAACCATTCGTTGTGTGCGTTCGAACATGGCAAAGTAGATCACCGTTACAATTTCTTGCGAATAATGCATTCGAAATTTTACGATAACGGAAATACACACGTGTGTTCTAATTGGCGTTCCTCGAACGTGCTGGAAACACTAACAATAAATCAGCCGTTCACAAGCTCAAAAACACTAAAACATTTTGCTTTATCAATATAAGTGTTTTATTTGTAAATTTAGAAAATTTAGCATTTATACATTTAATAATCCGTGCAATATTTAAATCGTTAATATTTTTACGTACAGGTAGATTTGTCCATTATTTAAACGGGAGTCGAGACACTCGTGATTATAGGGGAATAATCAAAATTTGTCTTTTTAGAAGAATAATTATAATATTCTCAATACCATCTTTATATGGATTCCCTTTCTTATGTGGATTTTATTCTAAAGACTTAATTATAGAATACTTTTTCCTTAACAAAATAAATTCTTACTGCCAAAGCACTTGATCGATGCTTATCTTTTCGTATTTAAAACAAATTACCTTGATAATCAAGCTCAACGCTACTAAATGACAAAAATTTGTACGACCGTTGAACCATTAATAATTCGTTTCAGAAGTCAGTGTGATTAACTTCGTACTCTAAAATAAATCGTTGTAACAATGTCATTCGAACGCTTATCAAAATTTAGCTAAGTAATTTTTGAATGCAACGGTATGAAAAATATTAATATTTAATTTCATCAATTTTCTCTGCTTTTTGTTTCGCGGAGTTCACCGATTTGGCAAACGAGCGACTCGAGTGTAGCTCACTATCGTTCAGATAATTTATCTTCGCCATTTGCAGATAAATATCGCAGAGAAGATACGCGATCTGAGAGGCTGCTGTGCAAAGTGTCTGTCATAAAACTGTATACATGTAACAGAACTGAAAGTTAACCGTGTTCAATGCAGCAATAGTTACACAGATCCATAATGTCCGCGACGCGTGTAGAACGTACGAGACTCAACGAGTTACGGAGGTGGTCGTCAAAGGGTTAAGTAGTCTCGCATCGGACAACTAGGTCAGCGAAGTAGATCCGTCTGCTGCAGATTATACAATGCGTATCTCGTCGAGTGATTCAATTTCCGAGCTTCATCTAGAAGTTTCCATCGTAGCACGGTCTAGTCTTTTAACAATCGCGAAATGTTCGTGATAATTAGCGGTTGATTCTTTTTGTTTCTCAGCTGGCTGTGGGTATGCAATACTAGGGTTGTGCAATACTAGGCTGTTCGAGGAGAATAAAATACAAGTTATTTGTTTGTTTAATGAACAATTGTTGTATGGGAGTAATTCGATGAAATAAGAAAGATGGAGTTACAGGCGAGAATATTTTTTTCAGAATAGTAATTGTGGGTGATTTTAAAGAATTATTGTTAATTAGGCTGAAGGAAGAATCCTTTCCTATTTACGAATTTTCTTTCAACTTTGCGCTTATTTTCAGGGAATAGTGATTGTTGGTGATTTTGAAAAACTTAATTTTTCAAATTACTTTTTTAAATTTCAACTTGCGTTTGTTTACAGAGAATGGTGATTTTAAGAAATTTATTATTAACTAGGCTGAAGGAAGTATTTTTTGTTATTTATGAGAAAGTATAACTGGTGTTAGTATAGATTCTTCAATGCACGGGGAGAAACGTACTTAAACAAAAAGGCAAATAATTTGATTTGCTATAGGACGGAGCGTAAGGTTTCTCGAATTGAATTGTCGAATACTACGCTCCAATTCTCAATTTCAATTGATATTCGGTGCATGTACGCTCTGTGATAAGACGTATCGTGCAGTGTAGACTGTGTCGCGGTTTACACTGATCGGATGTAACATTTTTCTTGCCACGTTTTCACTTCGATCGAACCGATAATTCTCAAGTAGTCACTTTATAAACTCGACTCTTCGTAATTATGTAAAAGCTTGAATAAAAATTGGCAAACAAACGTAATAAATTAAATTAATTTTAAGTTAGATTAAAAATAATTCAATTTAATACACCTTCGTTTCCACGTTGAAAAAGGCGAAAATAGAGTATTAAGGATTAACAAAATCTGACTTACCAGGAATTTCTCTCGTAAATTTTCAACTCTCAATTCTTCACAATTACTTAAAAGCTCGAATGAAGGACAAGAAATAAAAATTCACGAATACAAGTGATAGATTAAATTACTTTTAAGTTAGATTCAAAATAATTCATTTCCAAGTTGAAAATGAAAAGAGAACAAAATCTAACTTATCAGGGGTTTCCTTTATAAATTTTCAAAATCTTCCGGTCGCTGTCGCAAAAGAGCAATTTACAAATAATTAAGGGAAGCATGTTAAAAATAAGTACAACGGTGGTTATCTGATGAACCTCCCTCATTAACCCGGCAAGGAATTTTGATTTGAACCACAGATAGATCAAGTTGCAAACGTAAACGGTGTGCATGCACACTTCGCTAACGCGACCGACGTAACGTTAGCGTAGCATTAACGTCACACCGTGATGTGGAGATGCTTAAAAAAAGCTCTTCGATCAACGTAAATGTTTCCTGAAAAAGAAACTACGTGTATATGCCCGTCGCGTTCTATATAAAATTGTCAAAAAAAAAAAAAAAAAAAGCGTGGGAAATTTTTCGAAAAGGAAGGAAAAAGCCATGAACTATGGAAAACAAGGTTTCGTAGGTTGCAAGCGTGACGGTAATTGTACTTGAAACTGGGTTGTGTTCAACAGATAAAATCAATGACAAACGACGCGACTTTTCGTTCGACGAATTTCACTGAAATGCGTTCGACCTCGGCTTTTTTGATCAGCGAATTCATGAATATTCATTTCCCAGCCGCGGACTCGATTTTCTACGTTTCGAACTCGTTGCTTTCGGTTACTCAATTTTTCTTTTTTTTCTTTTTTTTTTTTTCTTTTCTTTGGTGAATTACCTTTCTAATTTCTAACGTTGAAACTGCTTTAATGGCTCCGTGGTAGAGGATTACTCTCGTTTTCGTTTAATTTATGTTATATATCGCGTGGGAGAGAATGGTCTTTAATCATGCTAATTCAACGACGATAGCGCGTTATTGTTTATAACTATCTAGATCGGTATCATTTTGCAAAGCACACTTTACTCTTTCTACTTGATTACTTAATAATTGAATGGAGTTTAGATCCATTAAAGTGATATCGTGTTCAGTTGAATTCTTTTGAAATCATTTTTCCAAGGTGTTTTTTTATGCTATGTTAACCCTTTAACTGGGAAAGGCGTATATGTACGCTCTCACATGTCTACCAGAAGCGTACATATACGCTGAGCAACTTTTGCTGAGTATAACGCATTTATTGCTAGATTAAAATAATACAGTATTGGATATTTTGTTAATCAGATATTGTAGATAAAAGAACTGAAGTATTTACAAGACTTTCAATGTCTCTAATATTAATACAAATAATATTTTGACCATCATAAAATGAGGTTGTTTATGCCTTTATTAAAAAAAATTTCTGCATTTCTGGATGCAAAGAAGTCCTCGAAAATGTTTTTTACTTCTGTCTCGTTACTAAATCGTTTTCTAACTAAAATATAGTCACGCGAATTTGATTCATTCGAATTTAATCCATTCGAATTTCATCCATTCAAATTTGATTCACTTGAATTTCATCCACTCGAATTTGATCCATTTGAATTTGATCCACTCGAATTTGATCCATTCGAATTCGATTCACTCGAATTAGACTCATTTGAATTTCATTCCCTCGAATTTGATCCATTCAAATTTGATTCACTCGAATTTCATCCACTCGAATTTGATTCACTCGAATTTGATCCATTCGAATTTGATCCATTCAAATTCGATTCATTCGAATTAAACTCATTTGAATTTCATTCCCCCGAATTTGATTCACTTTCATACATAATCTGCTATGTAATAATCAAACTGCAACTTTGGCTAACTTTAAACTTTAGATTAACACATAATTAGTACACGTGTAAAAATAAAATTCTGAAAAGTTTACGCGTTTGTGAAATCGGCCATTTCACACGCAACAATCTATAGTAACTATTGGAATAACTGAATATCCCGAATTGTTTCGATTGCTTTAAATCAGAATTTTTCACGCTCAAAATATATCCACGCTTCTAACTTTGACATCGTGCAAAGGTCGTGTCTCATGTAGAAAATAATTCTTTGCTAAAATGTGTCGCAATTAAAGGGTTAACCATAAAAAATAAATGACGTTTAATCAGCTGATGAAAGATTGAGGGATAGGAAGGGGGATAATAAAGATCAAGCATGGTACATGTAAGAACAATGTATGTATATTTCTTCAGAAGCCATAGTAGCATCTATCGCGTAAAATCGTTTTCATTCGCATCGACGATAAACGGTACGGTGGTCGGTATTGAATTCAGATTAGCCTCGAGTCCGTACAGCATCGGTATCTTAATTTAATAAAGGTAAGCCGTACAAATCGCACCGTAAATCGAATCGATGGTCCCGTATCACGCGGAACGCGTATACGCGTCCCTTTTTTTTTTTTTACGCTCCCCTTTACAATTATATATTCTTATTGTCACGCGTTTAACGTTAATTAATACCTGCGTTTTTCTCAGGGTAAGAACTTATTCTAAATGTCGCGACCGATACAGCTGGCGCGTTGAACAATCACGTTTCGCATACTTACTTACACGATGTTTCGTTAACGGAGACGAGAAAGAAATAAAAAAAGAGAAGAGAAAAATGTGAACAATCGTGTTCGACGAATTTTCGTCGGGGCGAAATTACGAACGTACAGAGAAATAAAGAATTCATCAGTCCTCGTTTCGATTAACGTAATTGCGGCCTTCCCCCGTCGCTGGGAGGTCCGACGAGCTTAATTTGTTTACTAGTTGTTTACAAAAAAAAAAAAAAGAAACGCCTACCGTGTTATAACAAAGTAACAAATACAAATACAACTACATTAATTGGTAATGATAGTCTGTACGCGGTGATGTCGCCTTAACCCTTCGTTGCTGACTTGGATGTTCTCTGAAACAAAGGGAAACAGGCATATGATTAGGATTTTCGAGGGTCTATATAGTGACGCTCTAAAGTTGTGAACTATTTCATCGTTGATAATTAATATTTAAATGGAAAGATTATTTTTAAATTTTGTTGTTACTTATTTTTCAATAGGTTTTCATCAGTTTCGTATTCTAACGTAATTCTCGAACAGACGTATGTTACTATTTTCATTGAAAGTACCAATAAAAAATGGTAGTGAATCATTTATCTATATTCTACAAGGCTGATTTTATTGTTTATTGCTATACAGTTGCATTATTACCAGCCAATTTCTTTATAATAATTATTAACTCTTGCTTCCCCCTGTTAAAACGTAAAATTGTAACTTTCGATCGTAACTTCCCCTTTTCACGGATGAAGCAAATCCGGTTATAGAGGGTTAAACAATTTTCCAATACTTTGAACACTTCGTAGACGTCGCGTATAAAAGGAACAGCAACGAAAATTGGTCCACTTACTTTGTCCTTGCGACCCACGATTTTGCAGTGAGCAGATCCGGTGAGACCGAACTGCTGGTCGCACGTACAATCTTTTTCGAGTTCTAAATTAACGAGGCCATCGACGATCCTCTTGGTGGCCACTTGGACGAATTGCTTCTTTTGGCCCGGCTTTGCGTCCAGGAAATTGTCCGAGCTGAACGCCGCCCCACCAGACTGCAACGTAATTTCAGGTAAATTTTCTCTCTCCTCTTTAATTTCTGTCTTTTTCTGTTCCCTGTCTCTGTCTCTCTCTCTAGTTCTTTCCCTGTCTCTCCCTTTCTCTCCCTGTCTCTCCCCATTTCTCCTTGTCTTTCCCCATCTCCTTCTGTCTCTCCCCATCTCTCCCCGTCTCTCTCCATCTCTCCCTGTCTTTCCCCGTCTCCTTCTGTCTCTCCCCATCTCTCCCCATCTCTCCCTGTCTTTTCTCGTCTCCTTCTGTCTCTCCCCATCTCTCCCCGTCTCTCCCAGTCTCTCCCCATCTCTCCCTGTCCCTCCCCATCTCTCCCTGTCTCTCCCCATCTCTCCCTGTCTGTTCCCGTCTCTTCCTGTCTCCCTCTGTCTCTCCCCATCTCTCCCTGTCTCTCTCTCTCTCTCTGTCCCTGGCACCACATTGTCTCTATCTCTCGATCAGTTCACGGTACGTAATAATAGATGAGGATCACTTGTTGAACACTTACAGAAACCGCGAAGTCAGCGCAGACGTCGCTGATCGCAGATGCGAGATTGCTCTTCATGTCGCTGCTTCCGGTCATAGGCTTATTCTTGCTGTCAGCGAATGTGTACACGCTGTCCTGGTCGTAACCAACGATATTCTTTTGCGGTTTGCCCGAGACGAGCAGCTCTTTAGGGAATGACACGTGGTAGTAGGTAAGTCCAAGATCACTATAAACTTTCTGGCCAAGCAGTAGCCTAATTTGCTGCATCTGGAAGAGAACGAATAGTTGGAATATTCTTTCCATAGATGAATCGTTAAAATAGAGAAACTGAATCAAGTACGGCAGGTAACTACATTTATCCAAAAATTACTCAAAAACTGATTATTTTAAATTTTTCCTAAAATCCAAATTCATAAGTAATTCATTGAAATCAGAAGAATCTTCCCAAATGAACTCCTCTTTTGTAATTTCACTAAAATTCAATTATTCAGATGTATTTTAATAATATACAGGTTTATACCACGTTCGTTTATAATAGTGAATTAATTCTGGACAGATTATAGGAATGTAAACGCCCGTGATTTCGGTTAACCCCGATTGATCAGTAGTCACCGACCATTAATTACCAACTACGGCTATCAATTCTCCGTTCACAGTATTAACTCTAAATTGACGTTATTAGAGACATTATGTCTCCTATCTACACATCGATCCTTTATAAAGCATATAATCTCACGAAGCGACTGTACAAGAAGTCCACGATCTAAGTACTGACCCATAAATCTACTTTTTCAAGAGTATCATTTCTAAACAAGCATTAAATCTTTCCTCTAATCTCAGAATGACAATTGCCAGGATTGCTTTTTTTTCTCAGTCCGCGACTGTTGTTGGTATCTACGTTGAAGAATCGTGCTTACAGAAATTGGAAACGGACTCTTCTCGCAGGGATTCGCGATTACGCCAATCACTGCTTTCGCCGCGCCAGGTCTGAAGGGATATCGGATTGCCTCCTCGTAGGCATCGGTCAGCTTGAATGTTCCCAGTTCAACGTCTAATCTCTGCTGCAAATAGTCAATCTTCTTGCCCGTGTCACCTTCCTTCGCTTCCTAGAAATCGTTATTTTCTTGTTTAGCGCACGCAAAATACGACGCGGAATAAAGAAGAAAAAGAGAAGAAGGAGAACGTCTATTAAATATCTATGCTAACGAACGTGTCAACTAATTGGTGACATAATGGGTGAAAGAAACCGACTTCGTTTTTATTTGTTTTCTCACTAAGAAACACGATCACGTGGGATCATACACTGACTAATCGATCGAATCCATTAAACAACAAATCCGTTACTATTAAACGAATTCTCCGTCGGTTGCTCTGTCCACGTTCATTTGCATGTTTCCGTGTCGTTAATGACGACTGTTTTATACAGCTGAAAGAAGCTATTACACAGAAACACGGTCGATTTTGAGCCGCGTCAGACGAGGAAAAACTATGGAGAACGAGAATGTTAATGATGTCGGTGAATGGTGCGCAAAAACATTCATCGTGTTACGTCGACGAATAGGAAACGAAGAGGAGATGTAACTGAACTCTTGATTGATCATTCCGCCTCCGCTACGTTACATCAGCCTGCATTCGCCTCGGTTTAATCGAACCTTAATGCGTTTGTTCCACGAGCGCATAGGAAAGCGCAATTCGATTTCTGCTTCAGCTTGTTCCGAGTGATTGTGGACGAGTTAGAATTACCTCGAGACTAACAGTCGGTTTCCTCTCGTCGAATTTCAAGTTCTTCACCTCGCCGACGATGTTCGTGTCGCCGTTTACCGTGTAGTGTTGAGGCCACTTCATCTTCTCGCTGTAGCCGATCAGTCCGATGTGCACGTCTCTGAAAATTCGAGTAACAAGGTTGTTTTCGCGCGTTTCACTTTGTTTCGTTGGATTCTTCGGATCATTTGGAAATTGATCACTCGGAGCGGATCGATCGAGTGTGGGGAAATTCTGAGTGTTTTTTTCCTCGAAATCAAAAAGAATTTACCTTTTTTTTGTTTTTTTACTTTTTACACACGATTTTACCCATTGATCGTACCATTTTTCTGAAAACAACGAGATTCGCTTTAATTTGAACGAAACTCGACTGATTTTTAAGAAATTTTGCACACATATACGTAAATACATTCTACATCATTCGGCATATATGATTTCTTCAATATTTCAATTTTCACTCGAGTGTGTATGAATAAATAAACGGCTATATCTCCGCGTAATAAGCAAATTTTCTCCTTGAAATTCTGCAAATTTGTTACTTTTCAATTATACAAAAAGTCATACATCAGCCGATGGACAATTTACCTTTATTTAATATTCCATCAGACAAATTTAATTTCACGAAACTGTTCGTTATGTATAAGGTACACCTCGTGGCGTGTTCTCGGTTTCAATATGTTTTTTTTTCTTTTTTTTTTTAAAGAAAAACAGAATAAAAATTTCCGTACATTCTTTACATATGTCTCTATCACCGATAAAAGAAAAAAAAGAAAAATATTTTTGTTACTTCAAAATAGATTGCCGAAGGAAATGGTAATTTTCGGACAGGCCAAGGTAGTCGAACGTTTTAATGGGATTCTAGAACGAAAGAAAGCCACTCACGTAACTCCATGCTGTTTCAATTCCTCCCTGAGCTCAGACATTAAAGGCGTAATCATTTCCTTGTACACCTTGTCATTTGGTCGCAGTTGTTCCAGCACGAAGATGATGTCGGCTTCCTTCTTCGGGGTCTTCACGCTGAACGTGTCGAACACGTTCACTTTGCTTGCTCCCACTTTGCAATGCGCTGAGGATAAACAATGGAAACGACGTTAATTTTCTTTCGTTTCGAGCAGACGATCGAAAGAGACGAGATGGGACTTACTGCACGAGGCGGGAATACGTGTGCTCATGAGGCCCTTAGCGTAACAGGCATAGTGATAAGCTGAGGCAATTACACAAGCTCCTTCTTCTTTGTCAGCGGCGAACGCGTGGTCGCAGGCGTCGCGATATTGAGTAGGGTTGACATAGTCGAAGCAAGATCTGTAATCGTATTTTATTTAGAACGGTTGGAATATTTTGAATATTGGACCTTTAAATTGAACATTGAATATTTGAATATTTTTGAACATTGGATATTTGAATCTTTGAATTGAATATTTGAATATTTTTGAATATTTTGCTTGATAAAAATTACGGTTGATCGTATCTTCTCGTTTGAATAATAATTTATTTGCTGAAAAGAATAACGATTACTTACTTCATTGACGATTTCTGACCGGTGAAGTAATCCGTACAGACTGCAGCACGATCTTTGTGGTGGACCGCGGTCGCATCTGGACAGTCAGCTTTCAGTTTGTACGCGTTACCAAACTCTGTTCCACTGTCGGTGATCTGGAAAGTATCAGAAAGGAATCCTACCTTAGGATTTGCTTAAAACTCACGAGTCTCAGTTTTCGTTCCCCTAGATGTTAAATCTTAACGACCACCTTGAAATATTTCACGCAAATTCTATTCCGTTTACTATCAACTTTTTCCAATTCACCTCTCTTTTACTCGTAGAAAAAGAAATATTCTACAATTCTTCTTCTATTCCTCTTTCACGGAATGGAGAAGCAATTCACGAGTAGAAAAGAGCCAGTGCTAACGCGTTACCCGCTTGAAGGAACGTTGCCCTTTAAAGATCGAACGATACTCGTTGAGAAACGCACGTGAGCCTGGTTGCCCCGGTACGATTTCCACGAAGTGGAACGCTTGTGAGCTGGAACGCTTTAGAAACTTCGTGACACAAGACGCATACCTTTCCGGAGGGCAAAGTAAAGTCGTCGTAAGGCTCGTTGTTTCCATCGCCGAGGAGTCCGCGTAGCTTGCCCAAGTAGAAACCGGAAACATGGACGGCGCAAATCATAGGTGTCTTGGCCAAACACGTAACGCGGACACCGTAATCGGATTTGACACTGCTGAAAGGAGGTACGTGGTAGGCTTGCAAATTCTTCGTGTTCGCTGGGTAATCGGCCGGTTTGTTGTTCACCAGAATCTGAAAGAACGATTACGTTCGTGTCTTGTGTTGTTCGATTCGAATTGATTGGTGTAATTCCGTTGGAGAAGTGAAGAATGCATGGATAGGTTCCCAAAATAGGGCTGTGACGAAAATTCGAATATTCAAATACCGGTTGAATTCGTATTTCAAAGTTCGAATAGTTGAACTAATCGAATAACTCGAATAATTCGAAATGTACGAAATATTCGGTAGAATCCGAAATTCAAGGACTTCGAATATTCGAATCATCCGAATTATTCGAGTTATCCGAATAAACAATTCGTATTCGAAATTATCCGAATTTTTTGCATTTCTTTTCTGTACCACGATTTATTCGTTGTTGTATACGTAAGAAGGGATTCTTTTCGCTTACGTTTCCATTGTTCTTGAGGGTGATGCTCTCCTTAGGCTCGGTGACCGTGATACTGATCAGAACTCCATTGTTGAAGTTCGCCACGACAGAGAAGTTACCATCTTGCATATCCTGTGCCAGAACGTACGTGCAAGTTCCAGGCATGGTCAGGTGGCGTCCGTCAAACGTGAAGAAGTGTCCTCCGCCAGTGACGACTCCCGACTTGCTAAACGGTGGCAAAATGTCGCTTGGAAGGTGGGTCGGTCTGGAAATCAAACGAAATTTTCGATTATTTTACCTGATCTCTCTCTCTCTCTCTCTCTCTCTTTCTCGAACAATAGTCTACAAGACAGGCAAGAAAACTCTAAAAACTTTTCCAATTCATTCAACAGAGGAAACCACGGTAGAGACTCGTAAACGACAGAAGACACATTTCCATAAATTTCTTCTTTACCTGATCACGTCACTGTTACTTCGAAGAATGAGCAAAATTAAAACAGAGTATACTTTGTATCTAGCACGTAAAAAAAAAAAAAAAGAAAGGGACACCGTAATTTGTATCTGTCACTTTTTAACCCTTTCTACTATAGTCGAATTCGAGCGTTGTGTACTTGAACGCTGTCAGACTTTATCCACGCGCCGTCAGAATTTCGTCTTCGTCCCTTGTACGTTAAACAGTTCTATTTGTAGAACAGATAGAGAAATAACTGCGCAGCAAAAGGGTTAATTTAATTGGTTTTGCACCGCCTAATAATTTATACCGACGCGACGGGCACAAACTTTCTCTCTTTCTCTCTGCCAGAGTTCTCCTCGTTCCGTCGCTAGCAGGAAATGAACAAAGGGAAAGTGGAAAGCAGTTAACGAGGATTTCATTTACCAAAGTAATTTACCTGTACGCGTAATACAAATCCAAAAGCGACGGTAGCTCTCCATTGCGCAACAGATTCAAGACAGAGACTCTGACGCTAGAGATGCCTGGAATCTGAGACAAAGGACTCAAATCTATGGGTGCCTGGATTTGGATGTAGCTCAGCAAGTCCAATCTTGCCTCTTTTTCCAGCATCACCAGAATTGATGCAATCGCGCTCTTCAGCTTCGAGTAAAGTGTCTTCAGTTCGTTCAACTCGTTCACCTGTAAAATCGATTTGTAAAGTTTTTCTCTCTTTCGAAAATTCTATTACCATTATTCTAATCTACAGATTTTTCCGATTTAACCCTTTTCTACTAAATTGACGTGATCTTATCAGGTATATCGTGAAATGTACGATACACGGTAAATTGAAACAGTGTCGTTTCTGTAGAAGTATAATTCAAATGGTGATTCGTTTTGGTAAGAATACTGCTTTTCTTCTAATATACAAATATAACTCTTTGTCTTTGACATTCTTACTTCGCTCTTGTCTTTCATACCCCCTTACACACTCACTTTATATTCTCGTTCAGAAAAATTGTCCACTCGGTCCAAACACTCTCTTTACTTACACACCTCACTCGATCCAGCTACCAAAAACTCGGCTCAAACACTCTCAATCTCACATCCAATATTTCCTAACTTTCCTCTTTTTTACATGATTTCACTTGAACATCATAATACTGATAGAAATCGACGGAAAAATTTTTAGGGGACCTCAACCGGGACCTTCGGCTTAGCAAGCCGAGGCTTTACGCACTACGCCAACTACTCCCTCTCTATTCTCCCTTGTCGGTTTCCTATTTGAGTAATACACTACACTTTCGTCAGAAATATTCCAGGATTGCTATATATCCGACGAAGAAAATCATACCTTTTCATGTTTGATGTGCTTCATCACGTACTGACAGCTGCTTTCGACAAGTTCACGTAGAGCATTAGTTGGCATAGCAGCCTTCAACATCTTGCAGAACTCATCGACAGGTCCCAGGATGTGCTCCGGTATCTGGAACTTCTTCAACTCTTCCAGCTTCTCCTTCAGAATCTCGAAAACTGGCAGCGCTTTCAGTTGGTTCACCAGTAAAGTGGTGAATTCCTCGGCGTTCTGTTTGATCTGCTCCAATCCCTTGGTGATGATCTTGGCGAAATCTTGCGTCATTCCAGACACCACGCTCATGAAATCTTGTATCTCCTTCTGATGGTCGTTTATCAAGTCGAGAACGGCTTTGAGATACGTTTGGCCCAGTTTCATTACCGCGTCGAGGATTTGCACACCTTGATCGAATACTTTGTCCAATGATTTCTTCATCTGAGGATAAACCGATTTCACGGCTTCTTTCAGGTGGCCTACAATCTCGTTCAGTTGTTGCTGCAGCTTCTCTAATCCTTGCGCGACTTGCTTCATGATCTCCGTGACAGCTGTGAGGATTGCGCCGAGATACTTGTTCCTTGAATATTGAGAAACATTTTGTTATTACAGGGAAACTGTAACGTTCGTTTTTCGTTGAAGTGAATCGATCCTTTTCTTCTCGGTCAAGTTAAAGTTCAGAATTTTTGTTAAACTTCTGGCTCTCGAGTTTAAACGAAAGTAAAGAAATTTGAATATGCAAAATTGGAATTTTCTTGAAAATCGACAAAAGTGACACTCTTGCATTTGTTTCGAGTGATATATTAAAAATGTCTGTGTCAGCCTGATGAAAATTTGATTTCTCTCAATGGTGTTATCAAAGGTGTTAAATATCCGACTTTACTAGCATTGAAAATAAATTAGGAATACTCACAAGGTAGCTTGAATTTCCTTGATAGTCTCATCAGCCTGGAGTTCGTTCTTCAACTTGTTCAATTCTCCTTGATAGTACTCCATAAGTGGTTTCATGTTTGGCTGCGCCTTCTTCAAATGTTCCAAGAGGTCTGTGCCCTCTATCTTCACTTGCTCCGTCACATACGTATAGAGATCCTTCAATCTCTTCTCGTGTTCTTGATTCTTCGATTTCAAGTAGTTCTAGACACGTTTCAATTAACTCAGATTATACATTGCGTTCAAACACAAAATTGTCAATTGTGACAATGAGAAGATACCAACGAATCGAGCTAAAAACCGTTCTAAGTGAATCAAGTGAATTTTAATGCTCAGCAAGCAGGTGTCAATGGAAGTGAAATTGGACGTTTCGTTCGTTCAACGAAGATTATAAAATGCAACACGATTCTACTTACCATCGTGTCAACCACGTTCTCCTTGCTGTAGCCAAAGTCAGGTGTCAAGAAGTGTTCCTCGTCGAGATGGACCGAAGCGTGGAACAGGTTCTTCCTCGCGTTATCCTTGTACGCGTCCACGTTGATCTGTGCCATTTGGCCGAGGACTACGTTACCATTGACGGTGATTTTGGTCGTGGGGTTGTCTGAATTTCATTCGAACATTTGTGAAATCATATTGGAGAAATAGAAGAGCTCTTTTGCACAAGAAAAGTTAATACGTCTTGTATTGGATTGTTCGGAAAGTTTGTAGCGAAATGGTGAAAAGTGCCCTTGAATCGATTTTACCTGGCAATGCACCATTCAATAGCTTATCAAAAGGAAACATCGTACACCAAGTTTCAACCCCCTATCTCAACCGGGAGGGTAGTTACAGGGTAAATCCGAATTATGGAGGAAAAATTCAAACCGACGCATCTCTGTCCTTAATTGAAACAGCGACAAAGGTCGAGCGGTATTTTACTCGTTAGTTGAAGACGAATCCAACGCACTCCTCGCGTTGTTCGTCAGGTGAAGGGGGCGGATATACGTCGAACTGTGAATTTTCTACGGTAAAGCATTGTCACAAAAATTTCAACATCCACGTTTCACCGCAGAAGATATAGTTCGACTTATATCCACCTCAGTTCACCTTACCAGTAGTTTTTATCTAAGTAGAGATACGATGGTTTGAATTCTTCCTAAATTTCCACTACGAACTTTCCAAACAACCCAATATAAGGATCGAAGGGCTTTGTTCGTTTAATATACATAAAAGTATCGTCCTGAAATTTTCCTATTTAACACCTTCACTTATCATTTGTTTCGTTGACTGTGCATCTAACCGTCAGCTATTTACTGTTTCAATACTCTATTAGGTAAGAAAAGCTAATGTAATCCTTGGTCTTATCAATTCAAACCTAACCTAGCCTTAAAATCAATTTTTCTTACTAATACAATTGTTTTCGTTGCACATTTGCCAGAGTCTGTGCCACGAGTCTGACTCGTTGTTACAAGGCAAGGGGTTAAGTCTCTGACTATAAGGTATAAGGTCAGACAGATCGTTAATTAGAGCAACAGTTCCAAAAAAAAAAAGAAAACATAATTCTACATTAAAAAAAAAAAGAAAACATAATTCTACATTAAAAAAAAAAAGTATACAGAGTGCCTTCGTATAATACTTCTACTTCGCTCTGTCGTATTCGATCGTTTGTTCCAATAGCAAACTCACCTTTCGAAAACGCCTGTAACATGAAGCGGTTCAAGTTTTTCACCTCGAATTCATAAACTGTAGGCGTTTCGCCCAGAAGTGAAGTTGAACAGCCCATCTGCTGGGTGTCACGCGAGAATTCCATGGAGCAATCTTCCCTGAGCAGTTCTTTGTCGGGCAAAGTGAGGAACGTGGTGATATGTTTCAAGCTAGCGGAGAAGAAACCGCCCATGGTCTTCGGTTTTTGGTTCACGTCGTCGTAGGTGAAGAAACCACCGAATCCTACTTTATTCTTCGACACAGCTACATGAGAGTTCAACTCCAGATTCAAATGCTGACCACGGCTGGTCACGCCGACCGTGCCGGTTATGTTGTTCAAATCGTCTTGCAGTTCTCGCTTCAAGTTCGCTGTGATCGAGATCTTCTGGGACTTCTTGGCGAACAGGTCGATGTCCAAGTTGGCGGATAACAACTGTTGACCACTGCTGTGCAGCCTTCCTTTCACCAGCATGTCCTGAAAGACAATTTTTTTTTTCTTTTTTACAGGATGAACGATTGGTCAGAACTGGAAAGGTTATTTGGCTTCGTTAGATGTAGGATCCTTTTTATAAGAGAAGTAAGCGTTACAAAGTCCAGGAAAAGTTAATTTGTAGATAAGTAATTTAATAGTTCAGTAAATTAAGTAGTCAAACTTATGTGGGAAAGAAATTTAAATGGAAACGTAATTTCAGTGGAAAAGTAATTTGAGTAGTCCAATTTAAGTAGAAAAGTAATTTAACCAGCTAAACTTAAGTAGAAAAGTAATTTCAGTGGAAAAGTAATTTGAGCGGTCCAATTTAAGTAGGAAAGTAATTTAAGCAGTCCAACTTAAGTAGAAAAGTAATCTGAGTAGTCCAATTTAAGTAGAAAAGTAATTTAAGCAGTCCAACTTAAGTAGAAAAGTAATTTAAGCAGTCCAACTTAAGTAGAAAAGTAATTTCAGTGGGAAAGTAATTTAAGTAGAAAAATAATTTAAGTAGTCTAACTTAGGTAGAAAGGTAATTCAAGAAGTTCTTTTGGACGAATATTTCGAATCTTTCAGCGGAAAATATACTACATTTCGAACCTTCCAGCTGTAGGAATGAAATGTAACTAATCCATCAGTCATTTTACCTTAGTCTGCGTTGGATAGGTAAATTTCGTTTCTCCGTTAAGGGACAAAGTGTTCTTATCGATGTCAACGTCTCCACTGGCCGATAGACTAGTTTTGTCGTTTGGCTTGTTCTTTCTATCTAAGTACACAGACAAGTCCACCTTGTATGCACCGGTTTGCTTAGTCTTTGGCAGATCGTAGATCAGAACAGCGGCCATTTCGCGAGAGGGCAATGTTAAAACGGTTGCTGCAACCGAAGAACCGTAATAATCGAATTATTTACCAGAAAATGTAAAAATATACACACATATATATATATTTCCAATTTTTACCTGCTTCTTTAGGATGAATATACGCTTGGTAAGTGTATTCAGACTTATCCTTGGAGGAATGGAGATACAGATTCGTAGTGTGATCGAATATGGGATTGTTGAACTCTGTACTGGTCTTCAGTCCAAATTCAGCTGGCACGTTGAACTTCTTCAGATCAACCTCCACCGTTATTTGATGTTTCAGCAGTGTTTTCTCTGAAAATCACCCAATCGAATTCGTTCCAACGAAATTCCCTCGCAGACTAAATTTTCGTTTTTCGTTTCGCGTAAAAGAAAAATCACACTCACTTTCAACGTCAAGGATCGATTGGAGCTTAAATTGAGCGCAGTCCTTGTTTTGCTCGCAGTAGCTGTTGAACACGTGCACACCCTTGTTCGAGAGTTTCAGTTCACCAACGATCGCCGATGGTCCGAAGTTCGCGTTCAATACCATCGCCACACCAACTTCTTTGTCCTTATCAAGGGTCAGTTGCTGGCGAGTGTACTTGAACGACGAGGTCTTGGTGTCGTCGCCAATCTTCAATTGTCCATTGCCCTCCACCACGATCTTTCCATCCTCTTCGCGCTTCTTGTAGTTCGTGCTGGATAGAGAGTGCAATCTTAGACTCGAAATACGTAAAACATCATTTAAATAATGCTTCATCCTCTTGGATATATATGTTCGAAGAGTGTAACCGTTCGAATATTCTCATCGTTCGTGTAATTCAAATGTTCGCGCTTTTTTCTCTCTAATAAATTTCATGCAAACTAAAGTGTGTGTCACTTTTTCAATTCGTGGCAATTCGTAGGAACAAAATTGATTTTATCAGACAAGGGTCGTTCGAGGTGCTTGTCACTTTTACTGTATAATATGTGATCATTTGTGCACCGATGTACGTGGCTCTGTCATTTTTTCTTCTCTCTTTTACAGCTGATAAAATGTGTTTTGCAGTAACGAAGTAGAGATGGACAAAAGTGATCGAATATCTTAGATGGCCCTTTATCACCAAATATTCGATCATTGCTAGTTTCTCACTTTTCTCCATTTCTACTCTTCGATAATGCAAACACCTCTACTTCGTCAACTGTAAAACTGAGAAAAAAGTGTGACACTGTACATCGTTACACATATGATCATATACTGTACGGTAAAAATGAGAAATACCTAGCAATAGTTCACTTCATACTTAGATGACGAATTTCTCAAACGACCCTGTAATATTAAGCAAGTCTGAACGAAGAAAAATTTCTCGTCTCTACGAGTGCGTAATTAAATATTGATGTAATACCTTCCAGTCACGATGTTCTGGCCGTCGCTGGTGACAACAATGTTGATCCTCTTTCCAGTTCTGGCGGTGGGTTTGTTGGAGATCTCAGCGTGGAGCTTGCGTTTCTGGATCTTGTCGCTGTCGAAGTTCGCGTTGATCACGAAATCGTCGACGCTGTTCAAGTCCACGTGAGCGTCAGTCACCGCGAATCCCTTGGGAGTGTTCACTTTCCATTCTCCTGGTAACCAAAGAGACCAAAAATGGCAATTATTTGAAAAGATTCTAATTGACAGAAATCGTCGAGAAAGAAATTGCTCGTTGCTTAAGATGAGAATAGCGATCGAAAGATTTCGAGATCTTTCAAAATTTAACACGATCGAAAAATTTCAATTTTTCAACGTTTCTGGTTACGAATAACCAACATAAATGACATATAGCGACTGAAAAATTTGTCGTCATGGAACCAAAAAATAAAAAAAATGTCCATTTTAACAGGACAGCAATTGATTTTGAAATTTATGTTGAAATTGATTTTGAACAACTTCCGATACTTTGCTGCTTCAATTACCTTTGTATTCATTATCGCCAAGTTTCTCGATCTTCGAGAGCAATTCCGTTTTTCCATTCGGGCAGGTGGACGTCACGTGGAAGAGACCACTGTTGGTCAGATACTGAACCTCGCTGTTCAAGCTGTATTTGACACCATCAGCAGTGACGTCGCTGTCGACCGTCCATCTGTTCTCAGTTTTAAATCTCTGTGGAACAGAGAGAAGAGGAAATTAGTCCGAAAAATTATACTTGAATAATTCCAATAGAAATTTTTAACAAAGAAACATACCGGTGATTATGAAAATGGCTTAAGTCGTATATCAGACTTTTCCTCAACTGTTCAATTTTCGACTATTTTATAAAAACGCTTCGAAATTATTGTAACGCAAATCAGCGCAACGCAAAATAAGCGTTCCTTTCAATTCTCTTCAATTTTCCAGTTACACCACATTCTCATATTCACCGGCACAACTAATCTCGAAGAAAACACTTCTCTCGATCCTCTCGAGCTACGTTAATTTTTCTCCGATCAAATTTTCCATGCCTACGAACGATAAAGATATTTTGAAAATATTTTCAAGTACCTTGTAGTCAAGTTGCAAGTTGACGTTGCGCAGTTTTTCGAGAAGCAAGTTGCCCTCAGCCTGAAGGCTGACTATAGCCTTATCAGGCAGGTACTGGTTGTCGGATCGAATCCGAATCTTTTTATCTCCATAGCTGGCAGTTGCATCCACCGTAGCTGTCTTATGGTCAGGTGTAGGACTGTACTTGTAATTGCTGGTTAGTTTCAAAGGAGGAAGATCCAACACGTTAAGAGTAAGTTTTCCCGTTCCTTCGCTGGGCTCAGTTTCGATCTTATTCCATCCGACCAATTTCGCGTACGAGTCCAGTTGGATCGTCTTGTCTTTGTTGTACGTCAGCTTAAAACTCTCCGACTCTTCCATGATATCCTTCTCCTTTGACTCCAAAATGCTCCCGGAGACCTCGAGTTTCAGATTGTTCAGCTTCTCCAAGGGCAGCTTCATGTCCAGAACGCCGTTCATCTTGTACGGTTTGTCGATCTCGTTTCCCTTTTCTAATTTTCCATTGCTCTGTAAAGTGGAGAAGCAAAAATTTGATAAAGAATTCATATTTCTCGTTTCGTTAGAACTAAGTTTGTACGGAAACCTGTAGAACACTCTGTATATTACTCTGTAATGTATAGGTTACAATTGCGTAAAGTTAGTTACGCCTTTATTGAACAATAGGGTGTTCGTTAGGGTCGAATACGAATTCCTCGACAGCTGCAAGCTTATGTTTATTAACGGCAAACCAAACACCGTGCTCCGCTGCAACTTTTTCTTAATTTAAATTCTTCTCTCAACTATTCACGACTTCCTTTGCATTTCTCAAAAAAAGAAAACGACCTGTACGATAAAAACAGAGATTCCCGTGTTTCTAGCTTATGTGCCATCAAAAGGGAAAGATGAAAACACTCACCGTCAACGCGAAATCATCTCCCAAAGACGATTGTGCCTGGTACGATGCATCACTCTCGCCCAGCTCGGTGTTCAGCTTAACCTGGAACTTCTTTGGAACGGTCGCTCCGCTCAATCCTACGTTCACCTCGATCTGCTTATTCTTGTTAGGTTGGTGTAAATGTTTTCCACTCCAATCGATCTGCGTGTCCTTTCCATCTGTGTTCACGCATTTCAATTGCGAGGTGCCTTGGAACGTTAGATCTTGCGGGTTCAGATCCTTCACGTCGGCGACGTAGGACAGCTTCCTAGACGGTCCACCTTTCTTCTCGTGATCGACAAGCTCGCTGTTCACCTGTACGTCGTACGTGTTGTCCTTCTTTACGGAGTTACGGTTGCCTTTGTACACCAGATAACGGCCGTTCGGCAGAGTAACGTCCGCTTCGATCTGCAATTGACCATTTGAAAACGTGCCTTGAAGATTGCCCTTGGCGTTCACTTCAAATTTGTACGTCAACACCTCCAAAACGTTCTTCGTGTCCACGGATGTCTTGGTGATATCAGATATGGTTGAGAATTTGATACGTTTGTTTGGATCCTTCTCAGCGTCGTACAGAACCTCGAAGTTACCAACGTGCTGTGATCCAGATACGGCCAGCGTTCCGGTAGCCTTCACCTTTCGGTTGATCTTCGGCATGTCGATGTTCAGATTCGCGTTGCCTTTACGATTCTGATACGTGTACTGACCGCTGGCTGTCACGTAGTTCTTCAAGTTCAAGGTCAGGGTGCCACTCGGGTTCGGTGTTCGCTTGGTTCTCAGCACGAATTCGATGTACTTCACGCCGTCGATTTTCATGAAAACGCGAGAATTCAACAGCTGTGAATTAGCTTCGAGGCCTGTGTCAACTTTCACCTTCTTCCCGTTTACGTTCAGGTCTCCGTCTAGTTGCACGTTCACGTTGTTTCTGCTCACGTCGTACGTAACAGTTGCGTCCGCGTCGTATTTGCCACCAGGCTTGAGCACAAGTGAATTGGAGTACTTGCTCTTCTTGTTCTCCAAAACTGTACGCTTGCTCTTCAGTTCAACGCTGTTCTCCATTAACTGACCCTTCAGCTTCACCTCATAGTCGCCAGGCTTCTCCATGTTCACCTTGGCAGAGAGTTCACTGCCAAGCTTGATGTAATCGTATTTCACTTCCACGTCACCGCTGACAGATTTTTTCGTCAATTTACCGTCGACCTTCAGCTTCAGCTTTAACGCGGGATAAGTCAATTCGTTCTCTGTCGATAAAATAGGATTTTCAGGATTCAGCTGGTAGATAAGTTTCTGTTTCAAAGACAATCGGTTCGTCTCAGAGTTCAGATCAGGTCCATGGACGAAGGTCAGCTTGTTCTCCATCTCGTCCTTTTTTCTCTTCAGCTCCCAATTCAGACTGAACTGGGTGTTAGGATCCGTGGATGGCAGCGCGGTCATGGATAACGCGTAGTTATTCTCATCCTTTTTCCCTTTTAACTTCAAAGCCAGATTCTTATCGTCGTAGTCGAGTTTCGTGTCGACCGAGACGGAGTTAGGTGTCCATGCGAGGTCACCATCGATTGCGACAGTTTTCTGATCACCGACCATCAGGGTAACCTTGTCCAACACGTACTTCTGACCACCTTGATAATCAGACACGTCCACCGTACCTTGAACATTGTACAGTTGACCCTTAGATCCAGAACTCGTGCCGGCTAATTTTTCAATGTGCTCGGGAACTTTATACTCTAGCACTGGCTTGTATTTGCTCCCACTAGCAAGCACTCCGACACGACCGCTGTATTCGTTCTTGTCGTGGAGAATTATGATCGACAGGGTGTGTTCCTGAAGAGTGTTTTTAAGTATACCTTCTACAGAGGCTGTCTTAATTGGCGAATCTAGGGACATCTTGGCGTACATGTTCGGCTTCAGGCCTGCTTCCAGTTTCAGTGCCACGCGTCTGTTGGTCCTGCTCTTAGGAGTATCCAGCAGAATCTCGAAGGAACGTTTGTCCGGGTCCTGAGTGTTGAGGTAGACTTTGAAGTGATAATTGGTGACGTCGTTGTTCTCCAATGTGACAGCGAATTTCGCTGGTCCGCTCAACGGGAATTTAGGCTTCTCTTTAAGAATAGTCGTGAGATCTTCGTAGGGATAAGAAATTTCTCCGCAAACAGTCACCCCAAGGATGCCGGAGAGTTGCTCGAAGCAGTCAGTGTACTCTTTGCTCTTTCCAAATTTAGGCTGCAGATATTTGTCCCCTTTTGGTCCAGTGCTGAGCACCACCTCGCTGTTCACGTTGATCAGTTCCTGCTTCTTCTTCGGCATACCGAACTTAACGTCGACACCTTTCCCGTCCAAGACAGAGACAGACATGTCCGTGCTGGTAGCTGAGTGGAGAGTAGTGATCAGTTTCATGCCTGACTCAACTCCCAGACCTTGCACAATCATCGATCCGGCGATTCTGACGGACACGCTTGGTTCCAGAGCAATTTTCACGTTAGCGTTCTTCGGGTCTTTCAAGATTGCCTTGACGTCGAGTTTTCCATTGCTCTTCACGCGAACAGCGCTTGTTCCAGTTAAACCAAGTGTCAGCGCCATTCCCATACCGGTTGGATACACCAACTCAGCCTCGAGGAACTGCAGATACTTCTCCAAATCGTAGTTGAGGTTCTTGGCAAGGTCCAAGCCTTTGTCCAGGGTGTCGAACATCTTGTCGAACATTGCTTTAGGATTCAGCTTGCTACTGTCACCCTGGTAGCTCAGATAAGCCAGTTCAACGCCGAATAATTTCACAGAGAGGTCTATGTCGAGATCTTGATCGACTTCGTTACCCCTTAGGTGCACGTTCTTCGCGAATCTGTCCAAATCTCCCTGCTTCACCTCACGTTTTCTACGTCCAGTCTTCTCGTATCGGTCTTTGATGTATTCCTGGAGGTTCTCGTATCGTTTTTGGACGTAGTTGCGGAGCTTCTCGGCGTTTCCAACAACGCTTTCAGACGTCAGATCCTTCAAATCTTGCTCCCAGAGCTTTCCTTTAGGCCCGAAATAGTGCTCGATCATTCGATCCAGGTTCTCCACGCGAGTGTCTATTTCGAGGAAGTTGAAGTTGCGACCGAACAGCTCCATCGTCAGGTTCAGATTCGAGGAACGCGGAACAAAACTGTTTTGGCTGTAGATCACGTTGCTCTCGAGGGTCGAACCAACGCCAAACGCGTCGATCTTGTACGACAATTCGCTGTTCGAGGAGTATTTACGGATGTCCTCGGGGTATTTCGTGCGAGGCTTGATCAGTCCAAGTTGATTCTTCGCTGCTAATTTACTGGGATCGGTGGAAGCTCGGAGGTTCCTCAAGTGACTCTGGATGAAGGATCCAACTTGGTTTACAGGTTCCTTGTCCAACGTTTCTTTCAGCTGATTAGCTACGTGCGCGCATGGACAAGCGACCAACGAGAGATAGGTCTTGATCCTCACTTCGCTGTCCTCTTCTTTGTCATTCAGCACCTTGAACATGATGTTCTTCCATTTCATCGAGCACCTGGTTGGCAATGCTTCGATGGCAGCCACTCGTACACGGTTCTTCACGTTCTTATCCGAACCTATGTTCGCCAACTTCTGCAGAGTAGCATCGTCCAAGAACTTAGTGTTACCAAGAGCCTTCAGAGCGACCACGATCGTGTTCTCGTGCTCTCTGCTCTTCGCTTTTCCGTTACCCACTTTGTCGCGTATCTTGTGCACCGCTTCCTTCACTTCAGGCGTATTCTCGCAAGTATGATCCTGACAGAACTTTCCAATCACCTGTCCAACACCGAGATAACCAAGTCGAGGTAGATTAGGCTGGCTCAGTAATGTCGATACAGCTGTCATAGACGAAAGGTGGACGTGGCGCACCAGAGGCAAGCTTGCGTAGAAAAGAAGAGCCTGGACGCCGGTAAGTTCGTTCTTTTTCACCAAATCAGCTCCAACTTCGGCTGCTTCGCCGCTTCCTGTGTTGAACAAAGCGTCCAGGAAGAGCCTTTGGTCTTCCTTGTTAGCTTTAACCTTCTGGTATGCGGACATTATGTCGTTCTTGTTGCTCTGTCTGAGAACCTTCACCAGTTCTACGAACCTCCTAGCTGCTGGTGGTTTCACACCGTCTGTCACTTCCGCCTTGGCAGCTTTCATCGCGTTGCTAATGGCTTCTGGAGATGATTGCAAGACTGGGTGAGGTGCTTCGAAGATCACAGACTTGGGTTGAGATACCGGAGCAGCTGGATTGTCGCCTTTCTCGCTCTTCAATGTCAGAGTGGTCTCCACGTTTGTGTCAGCGCCGGAGCCAGCATTTCTGAACGGTTTCAGAGTGTAGCGTTCGCGGAGACGTGCCTTGTTCAGGACGCCCTGTTTGAAATGTTGTTCCGACTCTTGGCTCGAACCAAGAAGAGGTGAAGATTTGATGCCCGCTGCTGTATCCATGCTCGCGGATATCAAACCCTGGTTCACGTTCTCGCGGAACGCGCACTGTTCCAGACTCTTGGTCTTGCGGATCACCTGCGTATCGCCGTCTTTCAAGAACTGGAATTGCGTTGGACACGCTCCCAGAACGTCCGTCTGAAAATTTCGATTACGATCTCAGATACGTTCGACTCGTGCAAATGGAGGAGATTTTGCGAATTTTCGTTCGATTCGTTTCTTTTTCAACTTCAGTCCGGAACATCGGGATTTGAATAGTTCGAATTCGATTTGTTGAATTTGAATAGTTAAATGTGAATACTTTGAATTTCATTGGCTGAATTGTAAGTGTTGAATAGTTTGAATTTAAATAATAGAATCTTGTAACGACCGTTTATATTTGCTTCGCATTCGATAGATGTTCTAATACTTATCAAAGGGAGTGTGTACATTCGAATACGGATTTATGTAACTTAACGTCTAGAATTTGCTAAATTCCCATGTAGAAGTATACTAATGCTGCATGGATTGGTCTTCTGTAGTGTGATAATATTAAAACGAAGACGAAGCATTTCCAGAACTTATATAAGTCTAATTAAGCGATCGAAATAACCGATGAATCATATTGGACAATATTGTTTCAGTAGGCGAACCTCGTGGTATACTGTTGAACCGCTTTCTTGCATAACAGCCGATTGGAACATGGAGACAACTGCTCTCTTGATGTTAAGAGACGCTTGTGAGTCACCTGGTTCGGTACAAATCTCCGTGTCGATATGTCCATTGTGGTAATTAAACTGAACCGCGTACTGCTCAACGTCTGGCGTCGATGGATGCTGTAACGAATGATTTTTTTTCACCGGTAAACTCAAGTATGTACATTTTGTCTGCATTCGTAAAGCTGGAATTATATCGATAAACTTAGAGAAGTGCAAAATGACGCATTAATATTGAGATAACAGTTGCTTATTTTTATTCAAAAGCCGGTCGAAACATTTGGAATATTTCGCATATTTGCAATATTCGAATTATCCGAATAAAGCATTGGCATTTGAAATTATTCGGATTTACTCGAATTTACTCGAATTTACTCAAATTATTCGAATTATGCAAATGATTCGAATAAAGAATTCGTATTTGAAATTATTCGAATAGTTCGGCTATTCGAGGTTTTACAGCCCTAATTGAAACCAAGTACTAGAAATTTTCCAAAGTTTCATATTTTTCATGACATTCACGTTGAAGCTGAATTTCAAAATGAACAAATAATTACCGCTCCATTGATCTTGACGTTTGTCAACCGCAGTTGATGGACGCAGTCCGGTTTCACGGTTAATTCCACGGTGGCATCCAGTTTAAGTTTTGCATCCCCTTGTGCATCGGCGACTGTCGTCACCGACTGCCCTTGCAAATCGTAAACATACGTGTGCCCCTCCTGATACGCTTTGTTTGATTGCACTGTTCATTCAAAAGGAAAAATTTAAAGCATCGTTAAGTAACCGTTGATAAGAAGAAAATAGTCATTAGAAAATAACGGAAAAGAATATCCTTGCACTCGAAGTTTAAATAAATTCGCCGAAAGTAGATTAAAATTAATAGCGATACTTTTCCCGCGCCGCGAGACGTGTTAAAAAATAGCTCAAACCGAGTACTTACTTCCATGACAGCCGACTGTGCATTTATCTGAAACAACAGAAACAAAAGCCACGTTAGAAAATGTGAAATTAACCTCCTTCGAGGAATTTCTCTAAATCTAAGGCAGTAATAATGGAATGAAACAAAAATGCGTGAAAAATCGATGCTCAAAACTTCGAGGTAATTCTCGAGAAAATACCTAATCGAAGCGACATAGAGCAGCGAACGTCTCTCTCTCTCTCGAATTATTCACGTTAACTTTAATTGCACCGGACTTACTTCGTCCTATTATCGTTTGACGGTCAATTTTCGTGAGATTAATAAATTTATACGCTCAATAGAAGCCAGTGAGGGAGTTGCATTGAATGAAGCAACCGCGGCCGGTCCTTAAAACGGCCACTTGAATTCGTCATTAAGGGGCCAATAGTTCGCCTGATCGAGATTTGTTTCGACGTCGCATAAACACACACACCCGTGTTGTCCCCACCGGCCACCGTGTAATAATGTGTAACAGCATAATAACCAGAAGAGAATCATCTCAATCACGCGTGTAACAACATAATAACCACGATAATCATATCCACGGCTTATTGCAATAACGAAAGTACAAGATGAAATTGGGCGGGGCAACTTAGCCGAAATATTAATTCTCTCGTCTATTAATCGGGCGTATTGTTCCCCGGGGATAGGACACGTTCCCTTACCATCTTTACCATCGCCATGCCAATGAAAGTTGTGCGTTGCTGAAGGATTTCGGCACGTGACGCGAAATCCTGACCGCCTTCGAGACGTCTCTGATAAATTGGTCAAAGGGAAGGAGGATGGGAAGAAAAGGGGCCCAGAGGCGCAGCCACACACGATCGAAATTCTAAATCCGCTTCGACAATTTCTTTTCTCTCCTCGAATATTTCGGCTTATCGGCCGCCCGCCAAATTTCGGATTCAGATGGTGTTCGTTGATAGTTGGACTGATAGATCGGAGGAGTATAGCACCGCTGTGCGAGTCGATCGCGTAACGCATCGTTTAGCGGAGGCGTGAAAAGATTCGTCGGCGGATAAACTGAGAAAAATATTCGCCTTTGTTCATTTACCTTGATAATCTGTCGAGTGCGTCCGCTTTGTACTCGCTTGGTAAAAGTTTTGCAAAATTTTCTTTTAAATTCTTTTAATTTCCTTGATGTCTTTTTTCGTTTCGTTACTTTGAACAATTTTACGCTTCTTATTATTTTGCAGGGGGGAATAGTTTATTCGGTAATTTAGAAAGGTGAGAGTTTAATTTTATTTTTAGGTTAGGTTAGGTAAACATAGGCAGAAATTTTCACAGTCGTCACTTCGAGCTTAGCATTCGTTTAGCGAAGGTCCTGTTTCTTTTAAATTCGTTTGATTTTCTTCTTCTTTCTGGTTTACCTTTATGAAATTCTATTTCAATTATCTTTCAGGGGTACGGTTTACCCACCGATTTTTATAAATGTGAGCTTTCAATTTTGTTTTTAGGTTAGATCGGGTTAAACTAAAAGGGGAATTTTTTACATACCTTGCAGAGCTCGCAATGGTCACTTCGAGCTTTGCATTCGTTCAGTGAAAGCATTATATTTTTTTCAATTCGTTCACTTTTCGTTTAATTTTTTGAAAATTTAAAAAAAATTTAACATTGACAAATTTTAATTTAACTTTTTCACCTTGTTTAATTATTTTCGAAATGGCACACTTTCGTTAGGCGTAGAAACGAATTCTTTCCGACTGGATTCACAGAATCGTTTCAAAGCCTAACAATCAAAAATTAAAAATTGAAGAATGACAAATGGTCATCAAGGACATCTAATAATTATTTTCCAAGGCAACGATTTATCTACTAATTTAGAAATACGAGTCTTTAATTTTATATTTAAGTTAGGTTAGGTCGACCAAAGCAGAATTTTTCACGTACCTTATAGAATTCGCAAATTTTTGATTTAACAGGAAAGAAAGTGTAATAAAGTGATAAATTGTGCAAAGTAGCGAAATTTTATTTTCGTTTTCGTTGGACTCGTTAAAGTATAACGATAAAACGAGAAGATAACAATGTAGAAAATATGCACGGGGAACGTTTATGAAGAAATTTCACGTTTAAAGAAGCTTCTACCGTGGAGCCAGTTTATCTGTCGTTTTTATCCGCCATGTAGATTTCCACCGGATAATAATGTAGAAAGTAGATAACGCCGTAGGAAAATGTACGCACAGAAGGCTTAGGGAGGCTTCATTTGCTGAAGAACTTTTAATAACTCTTGCTTCCTCTATTGAGCGCCGCTTAGTATCTTTCGTCCTTTTTCATTTCAACCATTTTTCGCCTATCTTAGACCGTTAACTGTCAAAATTGCAACGCTTTCTATCCTTCGACTTTCGAGTAATTAAAAAGTTCCATATTCGAAAATTCATTGAAATTTCCTTAATATTTCCTGAAAACTTATACATTCTGTATAACTGGCGTAACGAAACGACCCCAAAAATTGGCGAACATTATTCTGATAAAAAAATTCGAGTACATTTCTGACACTTAATTGTTTTACTTTGGAAAAAAAAGGGGGGAAAAATGCCACTGAAACAGCACATAAGCCTATCGTAAAGAGTTATTTGCAAAATTTACGCTTGGAAATATTTCGTTCACGAAGAAAAAAGGGAAAACGAGTTTTTGGCGAAATGGAATTTTTAGAAAGATTGTAAAATAAAAAGGTACATATTTTATAGAGTAAAGAAATCTTTTCGGCCGCAAAATCTTTTGTTTCGGCGTTTGAAAATTAAAAGAAAGATGTATCGTTTTATTGAAGTTACATAGAAATGCGTAAAGGGCGAAGCTTAAGGATTAAATTAAGGCGAAAGTGTGGCAAAAGTCGCGATAAGCACAGTACCAGGAAATTTTCACAGGGTTTATAGGTGCTAACAACAGTGAAAGGGTTAAAAATCTATATGTTACCGTAAAAGCTAGAATACCGGAAAATGTTGGGTTTTTCTTAAATCCTAAATTTTACCAATTTTACCAAATTTAAATCGTAAAATTTACAATTTAAACGTAACAGTCTGTGTTTCCAGACTTTTACCAATTTACATTTATCTAAGTTCAGATTTACCGCTGTTGTACCGGGTGAGAGTTATTTTTTACAGTAAATCGACAAAATTACATATTATCAGCATTTATTAAGAAATACAGTCGAACCGAACATATGGAATTTCTGAAGATTTTTCTTTTTTTTATTCATCCTCGAGTCTTTACAATTTGTCCAAATGCGGACATTCGGTAAATTGATTTACAATTAGTGACATTGTGACAGAAGCACGTAGACATTTATCCCATTTGAGTAACGTCGATAATAATTGCCTGAATGCAATTTTGTTATTCTCGTTTCATGAAAATTGTGAACTTTTCGCAAGTAATCATTTCTGAAGAGAACAACGTAAGCGCAAAAGGTCAGGTTAGGTTCAAAAAATATATCGACACCGAATAAAACTTATTTTGGTTTTCTGAAATATCGTTATTTTTTTTATTAACCTATGCGATTTAAATGTTTTCTTTTTTATACAAGCAGACTCTACGCGATTTTTATCCGCGTAAATGGAGGTATGGGTGTATAGCCTAACCTAAGCACGGATAGATTTGCCAAATTAATTTCGCTAAAGGTACGAAATAAACATTGATTTCATAATATTTCGGACTTACATCGACGTTGACTAGGCGTGTTATACCGACTTTTACAGTAACAGATAGAGGTTACGTCGTTCAAACGACGGAGAATATTAACTTCGATTTAACAGTCTCGTTCGTTTCCGAGATTCTCGAAGGCCGTGATAAAGTTTACGTGACTGATGACATCCCCTCGCGATGCACAATATGCGCCTTGCAAAAAGTCCAACCGGATCCGATAAAAAATCTTATTGACTCGTTTTGTAATCGATAACATTTTTTGTGCGTGCGCGTTGATTAAACCTACATAGGGAACGAAAGAAAAGAGAGAAAGGAGAAAAAAAGATATATTTGTGCAGGGAGGCTGAACTTCGTAGTAAGGTCGCGTCGATAACGTGATAATCGCTGACTCGGCTGACCCCCGATCTTGAAACGCTTATTTTTAGTCGACCGCCTGGGTGTTGGGACGGGAAATTAGGTACTTCAGAAATTGCAACGAGCTTTGCACGAAATTGTCGATTTCACCGAATTCACCGTTTCATCGCGAACAATCATTTTCAATTCTACCTGAAAATTCCTCTTCTGTTCGTCAAACGCAACTATCCCGCCCTTTGAAATTCTGCCGGACCGCGTTTCTTTTTAAATCTTCTGGATTTGTCGAACATTCGTCAAAGTCAATCGTCAAACGAGGTACAATTTAGGAGAATAACGAAATCACGTTATCGACGCGACTTTACTCGTGAATTAGGAAAATAATGATATGTATTCTGGAAAATTCTCGTCTCGAGTTTATCGAACGGTAGGAAAATTAAGCGGCGAAATGAAATTAGGAGAATAATGATATTCTGTAAAAATTCTGGTCTTTCAGGTGAAAGTAAAATATTCACTGAATTCTCTTCTGCAATTTTTCTTTCTTTTTCCTTTTTTCGTTTTCGTTGGAACGGGTAATTTGAACATGCAGAGGCTATTTTGGAACGCTGCTAACGCTCCCGTGAGGTAAATAACGCAACGTCGGCGGTCTTTTGTAAGAAAGGTCATGATAAATTACGATAAAGAGTCCTCCGGACTTGTGAGCATTTCCTGTCACGTAGTGCCCTGCCGTTTTTCCCTTTTACTGAATCCAGATTGGATTTAGCTGGAATAGAGTCCGCTGGTCGCAGAGAATTGAAATTAATACCGACCCTCGTAGTGGTTTAATCTTATTGGCCGACGCAGTTTTTCTATGTTACAACTATCATAGGGAAAAGTTAATTGAGTATTTTGTCACAGGTAATACCCTTCTTTCTTCCTGATTAATCATTTGTCTCGTTAATATTCCGTAAGATAAATAGAATTATTTTTTTTTATTACTTATAGATGTCAAATTCGTTTCAACAGAATCTTTTAATACTATA